GATGAATGAGTGTCAAAAACAATAAATGTTCCATTAGATAGATAGAACCGTGGCAGGTATCAACTTTATGATGCTCCCAATTTACTCATCAGATAAGAGTTTGTTCAAGAATTACCAAGAGATGACCTATTTTACAGATAAGCATTCTGTCCTTTTTCCACACTTCAGGTTACCACTGACCTATTTTAAAGTCAGAAATAGTACTTTTTTCCACGTTTCCTCCCAACCTCCAGCTATGGGTGCTATAATGAGCTGTATGGTTACTATTTTTACTGAGCATTTGGTCCAACTCTGAAATACAGATTTGCACGAGTGGCTTTCTCCCATAAGAAAGAAAAAAATAAAAATAAAAAAGCAGAGCAAATTGTGTTATAATCTTTTAATTTCAGCACCCATAAGTAAAACATACCCCTCCACACACACACACACACACATTGACACAGATTCATGCCTTTTCAGTGGTCTTTGCTGCAAACATGAACTTTTTGTAAAGATGTTTTCTCATCACACCATAAATGTGCATCTTGAATGTGCAGTTTTGAATTTCCAAAAGGTTGTAAGAATACCTTAACCTTAATACCTGGTTTAAATGAAACAAAATCATGCTGGATGATGAATTGTAAAGGGTGATGCACATACTTGGTGATGTTTCTGTCATATTAACAAACAAAGACATCTGTTGAAGGGATACTCTGGTCATTTTTAAAGAGATGTCCTGTCAAATAATATTAAATTGCAGGTTAACTAGTCAGCATGAAACCAGCCATATATGAAGTAAGATGAACAAGGCTAGGCTAATGGCTGGTTAAATCTTTGAATCCTACTCTTCCTCATACAATATACTGATGTGAAAGAATGCTACATTGGCTAAAATTAAATTTCTACATTTTTGGACCAGAGTGTTTGTTAAATTTGTTGCTGTTTCGTCACAAAACATCAGTGGTTTTGGAACAAGACGTCAGTGTTCCTCTGCAAATCCTGTGCTCTGAGCGTAAACATTTGTAGTACACTGGAACTTATGAATATACCAGTCTACACAATCAGCTGGTGAGGGACTATTTGACAGAACATCACATTAAAAGTGGCCACATTAAAGAGGAAAGTGTTCAACCAGGGGCATTTTTATGTGGAAAAGGAATCAAACTACCAACTATTGACTGGAATTGTCTTGCTGCTCAGCTACAGCAGTATAAGATGTGAACAACACCTCAGTTTGAAACCTTTAGTAAAATTGTGTGATTACTGATAGGCTGACATCAAATTTGAGTTATACACTTACAGTCTGACCTCACACGCCTTAAAGTCCCCATATAGGGACGAGCATTGCGAACTAGCTAAGGCTATAAAGGTTATAGAGTTCTATGTAACAATTGTTCGCATGAAAGAAAGAGAGAGAGAGAAAGGTGCAATTTTATGTTTATAAGTATTTTTGCTGCCATTTCAGCTTTTTATTTACAATAAAGTATTTCAGTTGTTTTTTGAAACTCCTCCTCAACTTAAAGTAGACATATAAATCCTTTTCACAGTTAAATCATTCAGTTGGGGTCTTCATAAAGTGGAACTACAATGCTTTGGTCTGAATTCCTCACTATTTTAACTTTACCTGCTGCTCTTTCACCCCTTTTCAGTGGTGTGTCTCAAAGTAGCTGATTTTGTTACTGTTCCTTTAAGGTGCTTCAAGCCCCGCCCCCTCTGGCTTCCAGACATGTCCACTCTGGTTTGGGGTTTAGCATTTTGTAGCGTGCAGAAATCTTTTATTTACAGTTTAATTAAAAGACATCAACAGAGGACATGTTCATCCAGCCTTTTATGTTGGAGCTGTAATTCCATCGCAAATAATTTCACATAATAACTCAGAAAACATCATAAAAAATAAAGACAACTGAACGGGTTGAAAAAAATGACCCAAACAGAATATAAAAATATCTTTGCAGCACCAGGGGATACTAAAATAAACTTTTCTGCACTCCTAGAGACTCTGAGTACACAACAAAATGTATTTAACAGCTAAAACAGTGGATTTTACAGGATATATCCACTTTAATAGGCAATATCTACTGTAGGATCACAAGGGAATTGTTTTGTTTTTGTTTGTTTTCCATTTTTTCCTCATGTTTTTCTGTGAAACCAGCTTGGTTTGCTAAAATTGTTTGATATTTTTTCCCAAGTCATAAAAATCAAATGCTTAAATAGAAAATCCACACGATGTGTAATTGTATTGCAAAGTTCTAATCTAAACATGTAATAACAAGCTTAGTTTGGCCTGACTTTGACATGTAAAGTTTGTTGATTTTTGTTAACTTAGTTAAAAACATACAGACTTCTCCATTTTGCACAACAGAGTGGCATAGATTGCATATCGGAGTCGGAAGCTGGAGGTTGACTTTGAGATGTGTTAAAGCGCTATATTTTTTTTCCCAAGACACTGTCGGTGTGGAGAGAACCAGCAGGAGGGCCTGGCTTCATCGCTGGCTCTTGACGTTGTTTTGGTCTGTGAGAGCTGTTAGTCCCAAACACACACAGCAGACTGATCTGTAAACATCTGAACAATTTTCATGTCAGGAGTAAAAAAACTTCTATGATCCAGCTCCTACATTCATATCCGATAACTGACATTTGTGTATTTTTCAGTAACAATATTTGTCCCATTTAAGTATGCATATTTTTAACACTACGTATACTCATTAACATTCATATACCATATATAAATATACAGACGTATAAATAAATGGTTTAAAGTGCTGAGTTTATGGCTGTCATTTATTATCCTCGGCCTTTTCAGGAGGATGTTGTGGCCTGTCAAAAGAAAGCGTTTTAAAATTAAAAACCTATCATTGCTTGAATGAATGCATAACACCAGCCACCTTTCACATTATTTTCAATCAGGAACATATTTTACGTTGTTGCAGTTATTTTGGGACCCGACTTTCTTATGCTGCAAAACAATATGGTTTGTCATGAGTTGGACACATACTGTAAAATTCACACCTAGAATTGGATTTGAAGACTAACACGATGAATCCTCAAAATCTGAGTCTTACCAGCAAATCCTGAGTTAATTTATTCAGCTCTAAAGCCTTGGATAACTATTTTCTGTCCTCATTATCTGTTACTTAGCAGTTCTACATGAAAAGCATTTGAGCACCTACTATTATGTAATGACTGGAGAAAAACAAAGTTTAGCTTGCTGTGTTCTGCCATGTTGCACAGAGTAAGTAGCATATAATTTGCACAGAAAGGCAAACATTAAAACGTCTTAAGTAGACTTCATCTCAGTTCCACTGGCAATGGGTGAAAAATGATTTGTGAATTTAGTTGTGAATACCTATTTTACAGCACGTATTTAGTAAAATGGTTACGGTATGTTTCAAGGACATAACCAAAATTAAGGTGATAATGGGTTTGATCCAATGAATACTGAACATTTTTATTCTTTAATTGGGTGCCTTATATAGTATATATATGCATAATTATCAGCTTGATTAAACAACATTGTTTCTGAAAAAATAGGAAAACAAACAACTGGAAGAAGCGCAAAAGCAATAGACTATCTTGCATTCCCTTTGATCCTGACCAAAACTTAAAATGGCAGATGAATATATTTAAGTGTAAATAAAACAACAAAGCTACACCTCTGTGCAGCATCATTTGAAAGTCAGATTACTCAGAAATGCATCGTCATACATTCACGCCATTGGGTGTTTGCTCATAAAATGCATAACATGCTCAGATTTACATGTGCTCAATGATGGCAGCAAAGGTTAGAAACACAGAAGAAAAGTAAAATGTAACAAAGTTGGTTTTCTGTCTTATTTTTTTTTAAAGATTTTGTCTCTATTTTTTCCCTCAAGCTCAGTGCTTATAACCGTGACAAACACCAGTGATGCACAGATTTCTAAAAAGATATTTTATGATTCTATAGAGACATTTTTTTTTTGGCTTCTCTGTGTTGAAAAGGTTAGGTTGTCCTGACTTTCTCTTTACAATATCCAAAAGGTCCCAAAGCTTTTACTTTCTCTTCACAAGCTCCTGTCTGATTTTTGTGCTTTGGATTGTTATTATGCTGTGATATTTCTTTTCTCCCAGGCTTCAGGAATCTGAAAGTCATCTTGTTTACCTGGTATTTTAGTATATTTACAAGAACTCATGGTACTGTCTATAAATGTCACATCCCGACACCCCCTGCAAGGTTGCAGACCCATATGTTGTCCAATATACTGAGGTAAAAGTTCCACACTTTCTACTCCAGGACCCTTCAGGTCAAGTTCAAGCCAAATAAAAGTCCTCATAATACCTGATTAAATGTATATTGTTCTCACTTTACTGTGTTAAGTGTGTGAAGTGATCTCAATATTCGACCAATACTCACATCTAATCCAAAAAAAAAGTAGTGTTGTTGTGCAAAATTGAACACTGCTACTTCAGCATGTCCTAACAACAATAGTTCGGGGGAGGGGTGCTTTGTGGGGCGGGACTCAGCTGCAGTCTGAGGTCCAGGGTGGAGCTATGTTCAAATAGGCGGTGCTTTGTACCAGCTAGCATTTAGGCAGCTCCAAATGGCTACCGCAGGAGATTCAATTGTTTCTCAAACATCCTTTCATGAGTCAAAGCAACACTCTGGGTATGTTTTTAATGAGGAAATGACCCTTTTACATGATATAAAACTCAAAAAAAGCAATGTTGCATGATACCCCCCACCCCCTTTAATGCTGCTAGTTTGCAGTTTTAAAATCTGATATGTTGACTAAGTTTCATTGTGAATGGGTTTGTGAGATTTTCAAATTCTGTTTTATTCTATTTTATTTATTTTAGACTGTCCTAATTATTTAAGTATTGGGGCTGCAAGTTTACTTAGTTCAATCAACCCTATTCACCAGGTAACTTCAGCATACACTAATAGTCTACAAAAAACATTAAACAGAACAAATATTTAGTGTCCACAGTGGAAATCCTGGATAATTTAACTTATTTTCTCTTGTTTTATCCCCACATGCTATCAGTGGCTGGGACAAAAAGCAAAGCGAAAGGTGAGTTATTGCTTCTATTTTCCTGGTACATGATTTATGTCGCACACGGTTTCCAATAAACAATGTTTGTATCAACCTTTTATTTCCCCCAAGAGCCAAGCAAGCATTAACATATGTTGCTTGGAAATGAAGCTTCCTCTGCATTTTTTTCAGCATTGTTTTTCCCGGAGATGTTTGTTGAACCTATTTGCTCTTTCCCAGATTCAGCCTGCTTCACATATGTATAGATTCACACTGGGGAGCTGCCTGATTCACCCAGTCATTCTTCCCTGGATCAGTCTTATACTGTGCAGCTCCACTGGAGCAGCTGGGGGTTGTTTCAGACCCAAGGACACCTCAGTGGTAGAAAAGTGAGGAGTGAGTTTTTCCCACTTGCTTTTCATACCTAGATGTTCCAAAACATAGTAGTTGGTCAAAAGACCTCCTTGTTACAGCCTGCCTTCAAAATGTTGGTATTTTTTACTTTCTTTCTTCAATATTTACCACATTTTTCTAATTAAAAGCCTAGCATTCACTGAAGGAATGTGAAACATTGGACTTATAAAACTAAGACCTACTTATGATGAGAGAGGATGGAATTAAATCAGTTTTGGTCAAACCTTGTAAAACCAGTAAATCTCATGCAATACTGTGAGATCTGTTAGAGCTCATGGCATGTGTTGAAGATGATGCTCAGCTACCATTAAACCAACTTTGAAGTAAATATTTGTGAAATTGTCTGAGTTGTACAGATTTTTTGTGCGTGTTTTCTAAGATCAGTTGTCTATGGACGGCATGTAACGCCGCAATATTTAATAACGCAGTTTTCTGAAATAATGTAATAAAATCAGGCTTCAAAATGTAATAAACCTGTGCTAAAATTGCATTATGTAATAATGATAATAAAAGTCTTCAATGCATTTTGTGATACTCTCAGCCACATTATGTATGTAATAATGTTATTAACATTATTACATTTTGCGGAGGTTGTTACAAAATTCAGTGGTTGCTCTTTTTAGAAATGATAATGTAATAAAGTGATGCATTATGTAATAAACAATCACAAACCAATGTTTGTGTTAATTTTAATCAATATTCTTTTAATAATAATCATGTTGCAAATACTACACATTTAAATCTTTGAAACTCTGGTCTATAAATGCCAAACTTTTCATCATTTAGTTGCCTTTTTAGCTTTACTGTCCTGATCCCTGCTGAGAGTATTACAAAATGTGTTGAAGACTTTCATTACATTTTGCACCAATTTTTACATACATAATGCAGTTTTAGTGCGGTTTTATTACATTTTGAAGCCTACATTTATTACATTATTACATATTGTGGCATTATTATGCGGCATTACAGGGCATCTTGAACTGAGTTGGGTCCAAAAGTTTATCAGTCGTAGATATTTATCCAGTGATTGAGTTTCATTAAAATCTGTCTAGTAATCCATGAAATATTTTATTAACAATGTAATAGTTAAAAGGCAAAGTTTTAAAACCAAACCTGATTTATTAGATCGTGGAACACAGCCTCACTTCTGACCATTTTTGAGTTTGGTACGGTTGTTAGCTATTGCACGAGTTTTGAATTTGATTGATAATAAGTTAATTGATATAGTATATTCGGAGTATTTCAATAAATGTTAAGCCATTTGTTTAGTTTTTCTGTTGTGTCAGTAAAATATCTCATGAACCAATACAAAGACATGAACATATTGCCCTTCACCTTCAGAAGCAAGTGAGATTGATGAAGATATTTTTTGTTTCTCTCAGATTCCTTGTACACTTTTATAAATACTGACTCATTTTTCAATATTAATTATTGATGATTAAATCTGTTGCATGTTTTCTAACCTATTATGATAAACAGTCAAGTCCAATTTAAGTTTAAGATGTCATCCTCACTTTGCCACTGTGAAATTGTTATTTTTAGCTAAGATGATTCATTCATACATTATTTAATTCCCTGTAGAGTTTTTTTGTGTTTGAGGAGTCTCCTTCCTTTTGTTTGTGTTCTCGATACGATTTCCACCAAACTCACTGATTAATGTTGCTCATTTTCCTGAATGACTGCCGCAGGATACCCCAACCCCCGTTTTTTTTTTCTTGAAAATGCAGTGTTTTCTAATTACAGAAGTAATTAGAGGGGTAGTTTTTAATTAACAGAAGACACACATTCAGCATTTGTACTTCTGAAATCTAGTTCAACACTGTGCAGCCTTTTTAACAGCACATTCAGCACTTTAATTATGGTTGATGACTTGTATTAATAACTATGAAGATAATGCTATATATAGCACGTACCAGCCCCAGATATTGATTAATGGATTTTGTCAACTTTACTTCAGGGTGGCAGTATATTTCGTTTCATGACATGAATAGGAAGACGCTAGAATGAAATAGTGTCCCACCCGTTGTCATAAAAATAGAAAACACATCTGTGAAGAATTTACACTTTCAAAGGTTTCACCTGACAAAGCTACTTTGTCTACTGCAAGAGCACAGGAAAAGCAAAAAGTCATAATAGTTTCATCATTGGATCAAAAAATTTAGCTAAAACTGCTTCATGACCACTAATGCAGACACAGTGTTGTGTTGTGTTTTTTGTTTCTATTAGACAAGACTAATAGAGGGAAAATGTGGAAGGTCTGCTTGTAATGATATGTCATGTGTCAGTAGTAAAACGAACGAGAGATGGAAATAATGGAGTTTATTTTAAGTTGTTTGTGTTTTGTAACATTTTATAGCACATTCAGGCAGATTTATTCGAACCTAACAAGACTTTATCTAAAATATTTCAGAAATTGAATAGAGTAAGAATCCTCATACATCCACCACTTTTCACCTATCCTAAAGCAAATTCCTGGTGCATCAAGTATAAGCATCTTATTTGTAGTATCAGTTGAGCCTGAATACAGTACAGTATTCCTAAGTACATTATAAAGCTAATATATTGCCAGTTTTAACTCACCTATGTTCTTGTTGCTTGCAGAAGATAAAAAAATAGCTCAACAGTTTACCCCAGCAGGGATCCTTATTGTGAGTTCTGTGGATTTCCCACCCCCTGCCCACTTCTCCTGCCTCCCCCACTGTGTGAAATCACAGGGGAGGACGAGGCTGAGTGAGGACGAGGCTGAGTACCACCTCTTTGTCGGAAAGTTCACTTTTGCTCCTGTGACGTTCAGTAACAGGCGCCAAACGCTCTCTGTTGATGGAGGGGGAAGCTGGCAGACAGCTCGCTCGTCTCGGTTATTTCCTTTCGGAAAGACTTCATCAGCTCAATCAAGACAGTGCATCATTTAAAATAACACTATCAGCAGAGACTATGATTACAATACTGAGCTGATGCACAGCTCCCTGTTCGCTCGTGGGTTATCTCACACATCAGTGTTGTTTACAGCTGATGGAAGCATTGTCGAAAATCTCTATAATCCCAGCCCAGATAAAGGAAGCACACAGACTAATGTGCCTAGGAAAGAAAAAAAATCTTCTGTGAAACTGACACTCAATTTTTCTATATACAAATAAAAATCAAAACCCTGGTATTTCTTGAAGGAATGCATATTACCCGTCACCTTAATGACATAGATTTAATAGAAGATGCCTGCCACAGACCCAATTTACAAGATATTATGTTCAAATTATGAGTTGAGGTTGATTCTCAGCTACTACCACTCTAGATTTCGACTCAATATCAGTAAAACTGACTGACTTCTGTTATTGTATTGAATAAGTTTGATTAGCTATGGCAGACATCTTGAACTGGTGTGACCCCAGAATGGAAATACTTGTAGAAATGATTAATTTGAGAGTTTCATTACATTTGGCTCAGTGTTTCATATGATCACTGCCCCATCTGTCCTGTTTTCTTAGGCACAATCAAAAACAATATCCCTCAGCCTTGGTCTTAGAGGGAGGGTAATAAATGCATATGGGTACAATTTGTACATGCTGCAACAAAGAAATAAACTGTACTTGGTATGCAAGTGAATCAGTTTTTAGTCATAATTGTGTACTGTACATGTACCCAATCAATCATTGTTACATTTATTTTTAAACAGTGTGTGAATAAGAATGTGAATGAGAATTACTAATCTGCACTCAAGTAATTACAGCCTGTAATGTTTCACCATAATTGTATATAGATTTTCTTAGAGTGAACGAGTTTCACTCTAAAAGGCTTGTATAGCAAGATTTTTGACACATTCCCCGTTGATTTTAAATAGTGGCATTAGCTGAAGCTGATAGTATTTGAACCGGTAGTGGTGCAATTCACCTTGGAAAGGTAATTTACAGATTACCCCGAGTTAATGGATCTGATCTAGATTTAGTGTTAATTAGCTGCTGCCCCAAAACAGTTGTTTAAATCTCCCTCATTCACTCGGCTGATTGCTTTTAAAATTGCATCATTTACTGGGATCCACAGAACAGCAGGTTTGCCTTAAACCTTGGACACATTTTTGTTGATGTTGAACCAATAGGGTGTAAATTACACTGCCAGTGTAAATTATTGTTCCAGGTGACAGATGTGACCTTTTAAGCAGAAATAAATTAAGTGAAATATGTTTTTGCCCATGTTGTTCCTGCTTAGGAAAGGTCACTTAACAAACAATCAGATATGATGGGGTTAGTTCACAGGGCAGCTGATAAAAGCAGACTTGTCATATCTACAGCAATTCACTTTCAAAGTATTTCTGAAATGTAATTTATATCATAATTTATCAATTATATTTCAGAAATACTTTAAAAGTCCTGTTCAAGAAATATATATATATACACTCACCGGCCACTTTATTAGGTACACCTGTCCAACTGCTCGTTAACACTTAATTTCTAATCAGCCAATCACATGGCGGCAACTCAGTGCATTTAGGCATGTAGACATGGTCAAGACACTCACC